TTTAACGAGTTTTCCACCTGTTACAAAAATAAATTTACTTGGACCATGGATCAGTATAACACAATCACTTTAAAAACTGATTAATCATTCTTGGGAGGCTTATTTTGAGTAATAAAGAAAGTGGTTTGGGAAATCTTTATGATTCAGGGTTAAAAGGTAATAACAAAGTATTAAGATTGATACATACTAGGCTCTCAAGAAAAAACTCCTAAGTTGTCAATTTAACAGACACCATTAATTGAATGTGGATATCATCTAATCAATTTTTTTCCTCAAGAGATACAAGTCAAAATCATTTTGCAAATTTTGGTATGAATTAGGACATTTTGATAAATATTGTCATAAACAAAATATCTCTTATATCTGAAACATTATATCTGAAAATGACGCATATTTTAAAATGTTAACATGAATAATGTTAATATGAATAAGTTATGTATTTTAGTACTTCTTTTGATAATTTTTATTGTTTTTGTCATTGATGTACCTATGTTATCTTTGTATTACCAAATATGCATACATATTTATAAACATTTATACGTATTTTTGTTATAACCTATAAGTAAGCAAATTTTATGAAATTTTCAATATTTTGTTTTTTTAAATTATGACCTAAATATCCTGCAGCAAAATTATTTTTTAGTTTTTCCAAAATTTACACATAAAAACCTTTCCAAAAAGTCTTTAATCAACCCCATAGTACTTTCCATTCAAAAATTATAAACCAATGTCCGTGAAAACAGCTGTTTGGCCCACTGTGCTGTCTTAGAAATACTCCTTAATAGAAACTTGGTTTTTACATTTCTGACCTGAAATAGTTAAAATGAATAAATATGGATCAAGGTACCAAGTTTGTTGCAGTACGGATTCAGAAACAGCTTGAGCTCCAGTTTTATTCCATTTATCAAACTTTTTCATCTGTCGGTATATCTTCATATCCTAATAATTAAGGATGAGATTTATATTGGAGCAGCTAAACTAATTACAACGGCTGTATACAGGCCTTGTTATAAATCTATAAAAACTAAGAAAACTTATTCTATTTGTCCTACAATAAATCACATAAGTAATATTAAAAGATAATTTAAATACTCTAAAGTAAAAAAGATTTTGTCTAACCTGAAACTGCTGAACATATAACAAAATTGCCATTTTGTATATTAAATGCAAGCTGCATAACACAATGTACATATATTCATTAGCCAAAATCAGCCGATTTCTTATGAGTTGCTTATGACTAAAATCACCTTATTTTACTAAGCTTATTAAGCCACTTATTACTTTCCACTTAAAGTACCCAGTAAGAAAGTTGAAGAGCGAAAGAAAAAATACAAGCATAATCTAATAAAAATAACCATAAAAATCTGCATTTTTTTAAACAAAAGGTACACAAATCAGTAAGTGCACTAGAGAGTGCATTAGAGAGTGATATAGACGCCTAATATCAAAAAAGAATCAACAAGAAAAACATTTGAATCAGAAAAGTCAACAAGAAAAACATTTGCAAAGCCTCAAATGACTTTTCAAAGTGTCTTTGCTACAGAGCAAAGTAAAATGATCCATTCAAACAACCTTAGGCCAAAAACAAACTGTATCTGTCTGTCTAATGAATCAAACATAAACCTGCCTGTATTCGAAAAAAACCTATATATGTCAAATACAAGTCAAAAACACCTATATATGTCAAATACAATGTCAAAAACACCTATATATGTCAAATACATAACACAAGACACCTATATATGTCAAAATCCACTGGTTTTAGTTTTGATTGAACTCATCCTAAAATTTGTGTTTATCTGTTTACACTACCAGCAACACTTCTTTTCAAACAATCAATTTCAATTGGAATATTACAAGATGATTTGTAAAAATCGAATGTTGCGCCAATTTTTAAAAAAGGAAATAAGCTCAAAGTGTCAAACTTTGAGCTTGTCTTACTTATATTAGTATTCTGTAAAATTCTAGAAAGCATAATACATCAGGAAATTTGATTTTGTAGATAAAATATTTTTATTACCAATAATCTATTCAACAAAATAGCATATAGTTTTTAAAACAATATGCGGACGACTTGAAAGTAATTTTTCTAGATTGATTAGAAAGCAACATGTTTAATACTGTTATACCTTTTTAATACTCTGCATATACTTCTTTGTGACTTTCTTGGATATATGCTGTCTGTTTTGTTGGAAAACCTAGAAAACAAATAAAGCTAAAAAAGACAGGAGCAAGTAAGTAAAAGAGTTATTTTATAGTATTGCACCCGAAGGCCTGAAGTCTTTCCTTTTTATGTGTTCTTCCAATAAAATCTTTGATCAATTTGATGTGGCATTTAGCCTAATCATTTAGAACTGCAAGCTTTTTTGTACAAGTAAAGAGCTTGACAAAAGACTTAGGCTTTCTCACTCTGGCAAGCCGCTATGCCTTTCTCACTCCACAACAAAGGCTTTACCCTAGTGATTTCCAGGAGAAGAAAAAGATAACTCTGCACAGTGACAAAACCATCAAAAGATGACATAGTAACAATCTTATCTCATGATGATTTTCCAGATTATTTCTGCATAGATTTTGAAGTCATCCTGATAGATGGAGTTAAAATACAATTTTATGAAAAAAAATAAATAATTGATTTTAAAACAATGAACTTTACCTAAATAGCACAAATGAAAATGCCTGCTTCTTCTGAAACGCTCAGTCTTTGTTCAAAGTATATACTTTATATATTTATCAATTTATTACAGGCCTTGTTTTAAATAACAAACGGCTTAGCTCATTAGCTTATTGTGATTTTGGATTCATAAAATTATCTTATTTTTATTATTGTTTTTTTTATTATTTAAGGACATAGTTTTTTTTAAACTACCGCAATAAAATAAATTACAGCAAAACAAGTTTTTATTACTAATTTAGAAAAACATATTTTGTAAATGTACATATTGTGGAATGTCTATTTTGTTTCTTTTTTTTTTAAATTTTAAATAATTAAATTGACTTTTTTTATTATCATTTAACATAAATAAATTTCTTTCTTTTCTTGACATTTGTATAAATGAATTAAAATGTTTTTTTTTTTTATTATTTCTTAAAATTGCAGCTTTGCAAATAATGATTTTTTACTTTTAAAAAGTTATTAACAAACAAAAAATATTACTTGTTTCAAAGAAAAAAACTCAAGTTAATTACTTTACCAACGCTTTTTTTTTGTGACAAACAAAGATTTAAGTTTCCAATATCATTTATAAATTTTTTTTTGTGCTTTCACTTGCCTTAAGCCAAAAAAGTTAAACATACTCTTTATGATTATTTTTGATGCCATGTTATAAGTTATAACATGTTTACAAGGAATTTAATTTTTTGTAAAAAATAGAAAAGGAGGAAGATAAACCAAGAATAAAAAAAAAAAAAATTTTTTTCTTGATTTAAATAACTTTTTTAATCAAAATTCTTTCTTGATTATAGGGAAATTTCTGTTTTTTCTTTTTTGATATTGTTATTTATATAAAGCTATTACAAAATACTATTTTTCTAAAATATTATTTTTTGCAAAAAAAAACTTTTAAATATAAGCGAAGACATTGCAAGAGCTATATTGCTTCAAGCAAAATTTAAAGCAAAAAATTCAAGCTAAAAAAATTAATAACAGAGTTATATCCATTAAAGATTTTTTTTTTTTTTGATTACAAAAAAATAAAATCTTTATAAGATGTCGTTTAAAGTTTGTAATGTTTTTTTCATTTTTTTGATAAAATGAAAAAACATTTTGTTATAAAATCATTATAACAACTAACAAACCAACAAAATTTAAAATATTAAAAAATGGCCCTAATATTAAATAAAATTTAGCTTGTACTATTTTTTAGCTAATAATTTTTGTTTTGTTTATTTTTTATTTTTTAAATTGGATAATTGTTTCTGTTATTGTTTTTTATGAGAAATTACCTAAATATTCTTGCTCTTGCAAGATGGCAAATAAAAAAAAAATTTATTATGTTTATTTTATGATTTCTTCTTTTACCCGCCTATAATATTATTTTTCTTTACATTTTTGACGGAAAAGTTAGTTAATAAAAGTAAATTTTTTTTTGTTTTTTCTTAAGCTTTGTAAATAGCACGAGTATCAAATGTAATTGTTATGCAACCTTTTTTATGTAAACGTTGTTCGAACTTCTAAAGTGGTTTTTATAACATTAATTACTTCTTTTATCTTACCACTTCTTTAGATATTAAAAAATGATAAAAAATGGCTCAGGTGAAATGGCTTATGTAAAATGGCCTATGGCGTATGCAAATGGCACATGAGTTTATGCTTTAAAACAAGGCCTGTATTAACTATTTGAATTTCTTAAAAAAAATTAAATTTTAAAAAATTAAATTATCTTTACCTGTAAAATATTAAACATTTGTATTTATAATTTCAATCTTGAAAAACAAAATTTTTATTCTGGTTACTCCTACATAAAGAAAAATTCTGATATAAAACCCTTAATTAGAGGCGTGAAAATGCCAAAAAAAAAAGGAGCTTGTAAACCTTGGATGGTAGTGTGAAAAACAGGTTAACACCAGGCAGGGCTTCTGGCTGTAAAAAATTGCTTTAATTCTTCCATAACGTTGTTTGTAAATTAGAAAATGGTATTATGGAAACTAAACAAGCATAAAATCATAAAATTAAAAAAAAAATTAATAACAGTTTTTTTTAATTTTTATTTAAAACCAATTCAAAGAAAAAAAAATTTTTTTTTATTGAGGTATGACACTGTTGAACCACAGTACACACTAAATCACTCAAGTGAAATTATTAAAGATACTAATACAATATTTCATTTTACTTTAGTCAATTTATAAAAGTTACGTATAAAATTCATTAGCAATAAAATAATAAATAACTCAGGAGTTTTTTACTTATAAACATTTAAGCATACATGAATATATTTAAGAATATATTTATATGTATGTTTAATTTAAAACTATATGGTAAAATTTTTAACTTTAATTTTTAGGTGTGTTCAATGTAAGAGTATATGGTACTGCAGTCGGGAACATCAAAAAAAGCATTGGAGTATTCATAAAAGTTTTTGTAAGCAGAAAAAAAAAGAGCTGGTTTCTTTGCGTGAATATGAAAAAAAAAAAGTCTCCCAATACTCTCACTCCCAGCTAAACCAAACTAAAGTACCTTTTATCTTGCCAGAGTCCAGTCAAAGAGGTTTGGAAAATACTTTGTCAAGCTCTTATTCGGATTCAACTACATTTGTAAATGTTCCTATATATCAGCAACATCCTAATAAAGTACATTTTCATCCTCAAGAAAAAGTTCCATATGGTGTTGCTACAAACAAGAATTTTTTAAATAATTTATGCATTTCTAATGTACAACAAGATTCATCTATGGGCAGTTCTAACCCAATTTTATCCCCCTCAAAGTCAACAGAAAATTATTCATTTGCAGAGACGTTGTTTGCATCAGAAAATTTTCTGGGTTCCGGTGATACTTTAACAAATCTATTAGATAACCCAATTTTAGATGATGTAGACTTTGGTGATGCTGCTAGTTTATATCTTGATACTGTCAATTTACATTCTAATGATAATAAATTTGAAGAAAAATTGAATCAGTTGCCCTTTCAATCTAGCTCCATAAATAATCCCTCGCAAAATTTATCTGACATAATGTTAGGTAACAGTTTTCAAAGTAATCACGATATATCAAATCCAACTTTACATTTTTCTAATAAGTTGTACAAAAGCAACCAAGTTAATCAGGATTTAGACTTTCGTAATATGTTGTGCCAAACCAGCCTCAATATATCTAATCAGGCTTTACATATTAGGACTGAGTTGTATCAACGAGGCTACTGCATAATTGATAATTTTTTAAGTCAAGAATTTGCAAAAGGAGTTTTAGCTGACGTAAACACAGCATTTAAGTCTGGTGCAATGCAAGCTGGTCAAATAGTTAATAGAATACATAACAAAGATATACGTGGTGATTTTGTTATGTGGCTTTCAGGGCATGAGGAACAATATGAGTTTATTACTCAACTCACAATAGTTATAGATCAACTTATAGCTGCTTTTAGCAAACTTGTTCATGACGTTGTTATTAAAGGTAGAACTCCGGTACGTAAATTATTTTCTACTTAAAAATATATTATATAAAAATAATATTAAATTAGTTAAATATGCACTTAAAAAGAAATGCAAATGCTATTGTGTTAAGGTCATATTATATAGCGAAACGACTAAAATTTTTTCCTTAATTAATTATGGACAGTGAACAACTGCTTAGATTTGCTGAAAATACTGTTTTGACTTTCCATAATGAGTTCTTGTGTGGTCAATAATATTTAATAACTAGCTAATCAGGCCTGTAAAAATTTGGGTTAATTTTGAAATTATTTTAATCTTGTTGTATTTATAGCAAAAAGATATATATACCAAAAAAAACTTCTAATTGACTTTTAAATATTGTTATTCACACTTTTGGCTACAATCAAATAATACTTTTCTTATTGAACTCAAATATCAAATTTTATGATGCCAATGCCATCTCATATAGGTTTGCCATGACTGGTTATCAAAAAAAATCTTTGTGTTTTCTTTGTCATTTTGATGAATACAATTGTTTTCATTTTTTTTTTTTTTTTTTTTTTTTTTGTGTGACCATCTGAAAAAAAATTTATTTTCTTTCTATCTAATGCAATTTAGTTTTAATAAAATGTTTGTACTTCATGTATTAACATTATGTTTTATATCATCGATGATAATGCAAAATGACTTAGGCGCCGAAAAATTGTTAAGGTTATTATAAAAAACAACAACGTAATGAAGTTTTTTTTTGAATAAAATCTATGAACCTCATCCTGGAATACAAAGCTGTAACTCTCTGCGAAATCAAAGAATACAAAGAAATCCTGGAATACAAAATGGAAATCAAAGAAAGAAATCCTGGAATACAAAGCTGTAATCAACCAGTAAAATCAACCAGTAAAATAGAGATCAACAATCTTGTCAATGTTTGATTTTTTTTTTTTTTGCTGTAACTATTTAGCTTGCGATATCCACATAAATATTAATCAATTTTTGAAATCAAATATGTGCTATTTGAACATGAAATTCACAGTTTAATTATTTGGGATAATTTTATGTTTTTAGTTTTATGATTTTCTTTTTAATTTTTTTAGTTGCAAAGTAAACTAGTATTTGGTGGTGTGTTTAATTTTTTATTATTTTCAAAAAAATAACATACTTATGTGTAAAAAAAGTTTGGAAACTTGCTAAGACAAGGAATATCCTTTACATAGCTTTATATAGCTTACAATATATTTTTTTTAACTTTATGTAGCTTTATTTAGTTCAAAAACAAGTATTTTTATTGATGCTAGGAAAATTACAATTTAAGGTTTACCTCCTACCATTACCCACAATTAAATTTAAGGTTTACCTCCTACCATTACCCACAATTAAATTTTTTTTCAAAAAAAGTCAATCAGAGTTTTTCTTTTCCTTGGTAACCTTGACTGCAGCTAATGTTGTATGTAATGAATAATAATTTTGAGAAATATTGAGGAGGAAATAATAAAAGTCATTATTTTTTTAAATTCTTTGCATTTGCATGAGTAGTAAAAAATTGCGGAGGCTATTTGTTGTTACCAAAATAATTTTTGCTAAATTGTGGTAATAAAATATATTTTTTTTAAATATTCTTTTTAATAAAAGGTAACTAATTTTTTTTTATTTAGTAAAGTTTTAAATTTTCAGCCGCATAATAATTTTTTTCCCCTTTATTTTAAAAAATGTGCAAAATACTTACGGAAGTAAAATTTGTTATCAGTGAAATTAAAAGATATCCTTGTACAGTGGCGTGCTTGCTCCAAAAAACACAAACGAGATTTTTCTAAAAAGCCCTATTTATGTGGGATGTTACCATATATGCATGATTTGAAGGCTCATAAATTATAAAACTCTATGTTTTATAACGACTTGTAACTCAGAGTAAACTAATTAGCTTTACATTGTGTTATAAAAAAAGCTGGGTTTTATTGCATAAAAAATTTCATTGATTTAAAATGAGGATCAAATGTTTGGGAGTAGGTTTAAAAATTAATTTTTATAGAAAAAAATTAGCTTTATAGAAGGTATTTTTATAGAAGGTTGAAAAATTAATTCTTATAAAAAAAAAAATTAATTTTATAGAAAAAAAAATTTATAGAAAAAAAATAGAAAAAAATAATTTTTGAGAACATAAAAAAATTGCTTATTGCTAGACTGTAAATTGCTAAAACAATATTTTGTGTTAAAATATATTTTCATAATGTTAAATAACTAAACAATAGATAACCCAAGAAATAATCCAGAAAATACTATCGATTAACATATATCAAGTTTTGTTTAAAGTAAAAATTTACCTGATAACTTGTAAAACTAATAGTTATAAAGAAAAAAATAATAGATTCATTTTTTTTTTCAAACATAGATATAATAGTAAAACATTTTAGAATAGTATTTTATTTTAAATGATTTTTTATCATTTAAAAAAATTTTTGACTGCATAAAAAAGTCAGCAAACATGAGATTTCAACTTAAGACATCGTTTCAATTCCAGGGTTACATAACAGCCCAAGTAGAGCGAAACAAGCAATATTTAAATTTAAAATTAAATAATTTTAATGATAAAATACTTAAATTAAACATTTTAATTTTACGAGCAATATTTATTTAATATTTAAAAATCAGTGATTGTGATTTCTTTTTGTTAAATACTTTCAGGATCTAAATTTTCCACATTCTCAAAAGGGTCATAAAATTCCTTTACAAGTAATATTTATTTCAGGATCTAAAATTCCTATCTAAAGGTCCCAATTGCTTAGTTTAACCCTTAATGTGGTTTTTTCAATTTATTACAATCATTAAACGCGATTTATGTGACAGTAATAAACATTTTTTGAATTTTTTTTTAGGATGATATTAGATAATGTTTGTATTTTAGATAAAACAACTAGGTATGATGTGGTATACTCAACTATCTAGATAGACGGAAGATAAGTAATTGCAGTTGATTACTGTTGCTGCCATTAAAGAAAATTTAGCTTAATCTCTATATATTATTGCTGAACTTAATAGTAGTAATGTTAGTAGTCCCTTTTTGAGCGTGTTTGACACGGAACCCTTGGCAGCCATTGCATCCGAGGTAGCAGCAAGAAAGAGTAGCAGCACTTTTTGTTACAAGAAAACGTGAGCGAAAGTGTATGCAATTATGTAATGTTAAAACATACTGAAACATGTATCAAGTTTTACAGTTTGACTTCACTTGAAAACTGCATTGCGGCAACATCTGCTTAATTTTGATCTAAAGCATTTATTTCCATTAAAAAAATTATTATATAGTTTTAAAAATTTTTGTAAGACAATGTGCCAGCGTGGTCGAGTGGATAGTGCTCAGAGCTTCTGAACAAAAAAGCTGTGGTTCAAGTCCTACCACTGGTGACTTTTTTTTGTAATATTTTTTTTATAATTTTTTAGTTAGTTATTTAGTTAGTAGTTAAACTGTAACTGGACGAATCCAGCGAGTGTGGTTTATCACACTTTGACAGCATTAATCCAGATATATATTAAAAATGTTTAGTTAAAGCTTCTTTGATTTGGCGTTATACTCATCTAATCTATTCTTAAACTGATTGACAGTTTTTGAAGTAACAACAGTTTCCGGTAAAGCGTTCCATAAATTGGCCGTATGATTTAATAAAAAATGATGCAGAGGTAAATAGTTCACAATTTCTCTTTCATATTTAAGATTGTGACCTCGAGTAATTGAATCAATTTTAAGCTTGGGTTCATTAATTATTTCAATTTCCTCAAATCTGTTAAGTAATTTAAACACTTGTATTAAATCCCCACGTTCCCTCCTTGTTTTCAATGTAGATATATCTAATATTTCCAATCTCTTTTCATAATTAATTTTCCTTAATGATGGAACTAATCTAGTCATCCTGTGTTGAACTTTTTCAAAAAGTGATGTCTCCTTTAAAGTAAGGTGACCAAACAGGTACTGCAAACTCAATACGAGGTCTAATAAATACCTTATACAATGTTTTAACCAATTTTGCATCAATTCGTGAAAATGTCATCTTTAACATACCCATCATTGAATTTGCTTTAGAAGTACTTGATATAATTTGTTTTTTCCATTTCAAGTTTGTTGAAAAATATACACCTAAATCTCTCTCGCATTCAGAATCTTTCAGTTCGACACCATTTAAAGTATATTTCAATTGCAGATTATTTATACCATAATGCATTATAACCCATTTATTAGAATTAAAACCCAAGAGCCACTTTTTAGACCATTCCTCTGCACTATCCAGATCTTTTTGCAAGCTATTTTCCACATTTATTCCATTCACTTTTGAAAGAATTTTTGTATCATCTGCATACAATTCTAACTTATTTTTAAATATATTTGATATATCATTAATAAAAATAATAAATAATAAGGGCCCTATTACAGATCCTTGTGGAACACCACTGAAAACTTTGCGCCATGAAGAAATAACATCTTGGATAACTCTTTGGATTTTGTTTTTTAAAAAAGCTTCAATCCATTTTAATAATAAACCACTAATTCCATATGAAGATAGTTTAACCAATAGTCTTTTGTGAGTAACAGAATCAAAAGCTTTAGCAAAATCTAAAAGTGCTTCATCTACCAAAATACCGATCGATAAATTAAATAAAATATAATCCAACACCTCTAATAAGTTTGCTGTACAAGACTTCCCTTTAACAAAACCATGTTGTGACTTCAATATTAATTTATATTTCATTAAATGTGATTGTATGCAGTCTCTGACTATAACTTCCATAATTTTACAAGTAATTGACGTCAATGACACTGGTCTATAATTTGCAGCTTCTAATTTATCTCCCTTTTTGAATAGTGGTGTAATATTTGCTGCTCTCCATTGAGTTGGTAGTTCACTTTTAACAAAAGATTCTATAAAAATTAAAGTTATTGGCAATAATTGTGCTACGGAATCCGCACAATTTTTCAAAATCAATGGATGTATAGAATCAACTCCATATGTTTTATTGATATCAACATGTTTCAATCTACTTAAAAC